GCCTTGCGCGCGCCGCCGCCGCCGCCGCGCGCCACCACGCGGCCGCGACCGCGGCGCGCAACGCGCGGCACCAGCAGCACGTGTTTGACCTGCTGGAAGACGCGGGGCTGGCGCCCGTGATGCACATGCCCCTGGACGGCGGTGCCCTTGTGATCGACTTAGCCCTGGAGGCAGGCCCCCTGAAGGTCGCCGTGCTCTGCGACGGCCCCAGCCGCCGCACCCGCAGCGCGCCGCACGGCCGCCTCGGCTATTGGGTCGCGGCCGGCTGGCTGCTGGAGCGCGCGGGGTGGCGGGTCGTGCAGCTGCCGTGGTTCGAGTGGCAGCTGCTGGCGGAGGACAGCGGGGACCCGCTGGCGGCGCTGGCGCACCTCCACAACAGCTTCGCGGCGCAGGGCGTCCCCCTGTGACGCGGCGGGTGCCCCCTTGCTCGTCTTTTCATGGTGCCGGCTGCTGGTGCTGCGTGCCTGGCGGTGGCGCCTGCTGCTCTGTGACGCGCTGGTTGCAAGCAGGTTGTAAGTTTTGATCAGCGAGCTCCTCTTTTGTTGAGCGAGCTCCTCAGTGGTGCCGGAAGGGGGACTTTTGGGACCCACCTGGCTTCATTCGTGCCCACCCCGGGGCACGGCACGCAGTCGTCCATGGCATGCCGGGTTTGAATGCATGTCCCGGCATCAGGGCTTCAAAGCTATGGCAGGTGCTGGCTGGGCTTAGCAGCTGCTAAATCCTCAGAGGCTGTGAACAGTTTCCGCTGCCCCTCACAAAGGGGTCACCATTGAAGACAGATGTTTAAGTCAAGAGCGGTCAGGCCTGAACAAGGCGGAACACACTCCAGCGGGTGCAAAGTTGGAGAGGGGAGGTGTTGTTGGGTGAGGGCGCTTGGAGCAGTTGTGGGGACAATGTGCCTCCATGAACGACATCAGGGGGGCAATGCTGTGCCAGCTCTTTGAAGCGGATTGATGCCGCCTGTGGAGCAGGAGACAACATTCCCCCAGGTGGTCAACAGGGTTGACCATGATGTGGCCCAATCCTGTATTTCAAACCCCTGCATAAATGTTGCAGGATCATCATGTCATGGCTCGCCACTGCAGCCACGTGCACAGCTGCATCCCAACCGATCGCCCAGCAACCCCCAGTTGACACGTCTGGAGATGCAGGCGGCGGCCAGGCGGTATCTTGCCGTAGGGGCCGGGGACAGGTATGAATCTGCCGTATTTGTTCACCTTACAGCTACCTATATTGTTGAATTTGAGCTATTGGGTTCAGCTTCGGGATGCATGATACACAGTGATCTGTGGCCCAACGGCGGGGCCACTGCGAGCAGCTAGGGCATACAAGGAACAGGCTCAACTTAGATAGGATCGCGCTGGTATCTGGAACGCCTAACGGCAATACGGTGACAAGGACCCCAGGAGTGCTCCTGTTGGTACGCAGGAGGTCTCGGGGAATTCTGTAACAAGAGAGCGTGAAGGCTGCTGAATTGGTGGGCCAGGGCCGCATGCACCTTGGCACGCTGTCCCACCTGGACGCTGGTCGCGCCCCCAACCCACCCGCCTTCTCCGTGACGCGCAATGGCCCGCCCGCCCAGGCCTCCTCCGCAAGCTGTCCCATCACAGCCGCCAGCAGCAGGCCGTTGATCACAGCAAACCCGAGGAGGGGGCCGCCACTGGCGGCGACACCCTTACGCCGCCTGAGGCGTGACTGCAGCAGCGGCCCTCGTTCGCCGCCGCCTTCACAGCAGCGCCCGCAGCAGCAGCAGCAGCAGCAGCAGCAGCAGCAGCAGCAGCAGCCATGAAATTCACGCACCAGCTCAAGTTCAACGCGGTCCCCGAATGGAAGGAGCACTACATAAACTACCCGCTCCTCAAAAAGATCATTTACGCGACGCGCGCAGCCGAGTGCCAGGACGCATACGATGGCGTGCCCTACTTTGACGAAGAAGCCGCTGGCCCCCCCGCCGCCCCGCCCGCCGGCGCCGGCGGCCCCGGCAGCTTCCGCTCGCCGCGCACCAGCAGCAGCGGCGGCGGCGGCGGCCTGCGCGCGCCGCTGCTGTCGGCGAGCGGGCTCGCGCGCGCGGGCAGCGTCACGGTGCGCTCTGGTGACAGCGAGTTTATAAAGGCCTTGGATCAGGAGCTGGCGAGGATAATATCTTTCTACCTTAGAAAAGAGGGCGAGCTCATCTCGTCCTTCGAGTCGCTGAGCCTGCAGCTGCACAGCCGCGACGGCTGCGACGCGCCGCCGCCGCCGGTGCTGCCGTCGGCCGAGGCGCTCGCCGCCGTCGCCGAGGCGGGCGTGCCC